GGAAAGACTTCAAGAGCATACATAGAATGCATAGAGCATATAAATTAAAAATATTAACATGGAAGAAAGAAGTCTGAGAGGGATCTAGACCAGTGTTGCCAGGGGGAATAACCACATCCACTGGAGCCACTAATCCAACACGAGCAGGCGCTCCAACCTGATGGTAACATAGTGTCATGTTATAAGCCAGAACTATCAAATATACACTAATCACAAAGCTATAAATCTAGAAACATGCAGAAAACTATAGCAAAAATACTTATGCAAGGGATTTACCAATATCGCCATGCACACGTTCTATCCTACAGGCATTATGCCTATTGGAGTAGATGGAACCTACACATACATGGTATTACAATACAATACCCAATGGCAACAACCCATCTAATTGTAAAAGTAGCAAACCCAATACAACGTAACAAAAGGGGTGACCCTAAATTTCAAGTTCCTGATAAAGCTCGTTCCTGACATTTTATACCTGGGTGAGTGATAGAAAATGGGCCCTCCATATGAACGGAGTCATGGACAAATCTCAAAAAAATGTTTTCTTTGTCATCAAAAGTAAAATTACTTACAATAAATAATGATACTTCATGCAAAACAACTTATTTGAGTGGAAGACTAGGAGTATAAAAAYAATCTATGATAAAAACACAAAATAAACAAAACCATTGACCATTTTGGCATTTTAATAGTAGCCACTAGCCACTAGTGATTAGCCAAATACATAGATCATAAATTCATATACACAGTAGTAATTACAAATAAACAAAAGTACTGCAGCATGCTAATAACACATAGTTCAACTCTGCTGAAAAGAACTTCTAATCAAAACCTTATGTCCATAGTTCAACCTTGATTTTGATGGAATGGCAGGTTGAGTACYTTAGTTGGCAGTCAAAGATGAAACTCTTTTTGCAGTCTTATTAGAGTATACAACTGGAACTGGAAATGAATGGAGAGATCTGTTTGGTAAACCGACTTAAGAAGGCAAAAAAGTGATGGACTTATTTTTCTAGTGGATTTTTTAATGTTATGGACTTATTTTTCTAGTAGTTGTAAACGGCCCAAACACAATAGCCAAACACACAAATTGACAAAAACATACACCATTTTCTTTTTATTAGATTCAACAATTGAAGTTTGAAACTCAAGGTCCTTATAATCCACAAATAAAAATACAGAGAAATTAGCAAAAACATCAAACTAATAATTAACATTTAAGCAACAGCTTACCTTCCAGACAAGAATCTCGATTTCAATTTCTCGATTTCTTGTAGTGAAGAGCAATTGAACATAAATTTGGTTGTTGAAATGACAATATCAAATTAGAAATTTAGAACCAAGAAGTGAGATTTGAGAATTCAGATGTTGGAGATTGGAGAAAAGTTAGGCCAATCCGTCAATATTGAATCGAACTT